TGATGCACAGTCCTAAACCATGAACCAAGTTTCAAGCTTTGGTAGCAGCAGCACTGGGCACAGAATATCATATACCTGAAATTGACTAGTCCACCCAAGAACATTAAGAAATTACTCATCTAGTAAGGAAAGCTTATAACCTTTCCTTTTCTTTTTTGATCAAGATCGGAGAGACAGCAAATTCAAAAGGAAAAGAAAGAAAAGCAACCAAAATCTAGGATCTGAAGACAAACTAGATCGTAATCAAAGAGGTGATGACTAAAGAAAAGAAAGAAAAGCAACCAAAAAGTAAACAAGATCGTTTACATTTTCCCTTCGTAGTTAGTTAGCAAAATCCATAGACAAACACCTAAAATTTTACAGTTCACACAGTGCGAGCAAGGGCTTTTCAATCATCGAAAGAAGAAGGAGCGCGCCCACCCCTTTCTTCCCATAAATCCAAAGCCTTCACTTTTTGCCTGGTAAGAAGCTTGATGACAAGCATAAACTCTGGAGCAGTAGCTTGTTCTTGGCTGCCCCCCTTGGCCGAGGCTGGCTAGCGAAGGAGGAGATGCCATAGCGCTGTCCTGGACCAGAGGTTGGCTTGCTTGGTTCACTCATTTCTTCATAGCGTTGTCCTGTACCAGAGGTTCGCTCGCTTGGTTCATCCATTTCTTCGCTCTCTACTTTCCTCTCCTTCATAGTGTTGCAAGAGAGTGATGGACTGAGGGGGGCACTTATTTGAGCAGAAAAGCTTGGCTTTAAAAACATGATATAGATCAAGAAAGGGCCAAGTTGGTGCCTGCTATCTACAAGAACCGACTTATCTTGCCAGACTGGCGGTAGACAGCCCCCGTCGCTGACGTCAATATGGAAACGTCAGATAATTAGGGAGGCTCCGTTTGGTGTCCATTATCTTGGATACACATGAATGAGCATTTTTAGAAACGTTACTTCTTGTGCTTTACTTAGGAATAAAAATAAAAAAAATAATATAAAAAATAATATCTACATCTAATGATTTTTTTTTATATTATCATTACATTCTTTAAATTTTTAAACTTCCGGCTGAATTATTAACTTAGTTTAGATTTAAAATTAAATTGTGTAAAAATTATAAAAACAACACTCAATGATAGCCTGTCTTCTTCTCGATCAAGTTTCAAATGCCCAGCAAAACTCCACTTTCGAGTCTATGGGGTGTCTTTTTTCCCCTGCTCTGCCGTAGCAAGATCAGCCCTTTGAAAAAGCGAGGGATTGATAGCTTTCTTTTACTATCTTCTGACTGATTAATAAAAGACCAATCCGAGAGAGTCCGTAAACCAGAGGAAGGGAGTCAAAGTAGCACCGGGTTTTCACGCCTCCTTGGGAACACCGGATAACAGGACAATCGCAAAAATCAATGTGGAATAGCGGTCAATCTCAGATCAGCTGTCTTTTATATATATATATATATATATATATATAGCACGTGATTCGGTCTTATTAGTCGTGATTCGAAAGAATAGAAGCCTCTTCCCTGCCAGGTCGAAGTAATTTTTATTTTATTTTATTTTATTGTAGGATAAAAAATATAAAAATTAATTAAATATAAAAAATTAAATTAAAATCCAATATTAAAAAAAATCATACAGTCCAGGAAAAAACCCAAAGGGGGAAAAAAAGACATGATTCAATGATCACGGAGAGAATTATGGATTGTCATGAGAGGATTTTGGGATATCCTCCGAAAAAACCCTTTTTTTTTATTCTCCTTTTGAAATTAATATTGATAAAGGATTAAAATGGATACGAGGAAGGAATTGAACTTAAATTTTTCTTATGATACCCACCCAAGACACAAACAGTAATCAAAATGAACATCATGTATCAATGATCCAAGGCCTCTGAATCACACAGAAAAACATAAATAGGAGAACGTATGATCAGCGTGTTTCTTTGCGTAGCTATATTTTTAAACAAGTTGTTGGCTTCTGAAACCATGGCTAGTGATGCAAGGGGTTCGCAATAGTGTGATTTTGATATTCCCTCTTCAATTGAAGTTGAAGATTGCTTCAAGAAATTGTGGCTACAATCTCCATGCTAGCCTTTTAATGCATAATTTAAGATGCACATCAAATCCAAAAACCATGGTGAAAAGATCATTTTGAGTTTGGGCACGGTCGAACCGCTTGCCAAGCCATTTGGGCTGCCGCTTGGTGCGGCGGTTCGGTCCTGGCCCCAGCGGCTTGGCTGTGGCGGTTAGATTTACTAGCATCATGATACACAGAAGACCCTCGGCCTTGCGTGGTTAGGTGATGCACAATCCTATACCATGAACCAAGGTTCAAGCTTTGGTAGCAGCAGCACAGGCAACAGAATATCATATACCAGAAATTGACGAGTCCACTCATGAACATTAAGAAATTGCACATCCAGTAAGGAAAGATTATAACCTTTCCTTTTCTTTTTTGATTAAGATCGGAGAGATAACAAATTCAAGAAGAAAAGAAAGAAAAGCAACCAAAATCTAGGATTGGAAGACAAACTAGATCGCAATCAAAGGGAAAATGTAAACGATGTAGTTTGCATTTTCCCTTTGTAGTTAGCAAAATCCATAGAAAAACACCTAAAATTTTACAATTCACACAGTGCGAGCAAGGGCTTTTCAATCATCGAAAGAACAAGGAGCGCACCCACCCCTTTCCTCCCATAAATTCAAAGCCTTCACTTTTTGCCTGGTTTGGAGCTTGATGACGAGAATAAACTCTTGACTAGCTTGTTCTTGGTTGGCCCCCTTGGCTTCGGGAGGCTAGCAAAGCTAGAGGAGGAGATGCCAGTTGGCTTTCTTGTTTCACTCGTTTCTTCATAGCGTTGTCCTGAACCAGAGGATGGCTTGCTTGGTTCACTCATTTCTTCGCTCTCTACTTTCCTCCTCTTCTGAGCGTTGCGAGAGAGTGATGGACTGAGGTGGGCAATTATTTGAGCAGAAGAGCTTTGAAAAAAAAAACGAAAAAAAAACATAAATCGATGAAGAAAGGACCAAGTTGGTGCCTGCATTTTATCCAAAAGAACCGACTTATTTAGTGCCAAATTGGCGGTAGATAGTCCAAATCGCTGACGTCCATACGAAGACGTAAGATCATGGAAGGAGCTGTGAGGGGGTGCAGCTTGATTTTAGATTTGTTTTTTAAAATTATTAGTTGAAGGTTTATATTATTAATTTTGAAATTTATAAGATTAATTAAAAATAAACTAATCTGAATATTTATATTAATAAAAAAATAAATTAAAAATTAGAAAGAGTCTGTTTGGTGTCTAAAATCTTTGATATACATGAAAGAGCCTTTGTTTTTAATGTATTTATGGTTACTTTTTTTTTTAAATATTTATATCAAAATATATAAAAATAATATTTTTTTATTTTTTAAAAATTATTTTTAAAATTAACATATCAAAATAATTTAAAATATATAAAAAAATTAAATATTTTAAAAACACAGTTTTCATGGCGTTTAGAAACGTTCTATAAAACAAGACTACGTTACTTCTTGTGCTTTACTTAGGAATTAAAAAAAATTAACATAACAAACAATATCTAGATCTCATGAATTTTTTTTATATTATCATTAGATTCTTTAAATTTTAAAACTTTTGGCTGAATTATTTACCTAATTTAGATTTCAAATTAAATTATATAAAGATTATAAACACAACAGTAGTGAAACTATCAAACTCACACAGATCAGTCCAATGATAGCCTGCCTTCTTCTGGATCAAGTTTCAAATGCCCAGCAAAACTCCACTTTCGAGTCTATGGGGTTTCTTTTTTTCCTTGCTCTGCTGTAGCAAGGATAAGCCCTTTGAATAAGCGAGGGATTCATAGCTTTCGTTTACTATCTTCTGACTGATTAGTAAAACACCATTCCAAGAGAGGAAGGGAGTAAAAGTAGCGCCGGGTTTTCACTCCTCCCTTGGAGTTACCGCCCCGTGGGAACACCGGATAAGACGATGGTCGCAAAAATCAATGTGGGAATACGGTCAATCTCAGGTCGTCTTTATATATATATATATATATATATAGCACGTGATGCGATCTTATTCGTCGTGATTCGAAAGCCTCTTCCCTACCGGATCCAATTAATTTTTATTTTATTATATTGTATGATAAAAAAATATAAAAATTAATTAAATATTAAAAAATTAAATTAAAACCCAATATTAAAATAAAAATCATACAATCCATAAAAAACCCAAAGGGTGAAAAAAAAGACATGTATAAATGATCATGGAGAGAATTATGGGTTGTCATGAGAGGATTTTGGGATATCCTCCATAAAAACCCTTTTTTTCTCTCCTTTTGCAATTAATATCGATAGAGGATTAAAATGGATATGAGGAAGGAATTTTTCAATACGAGGAAGGAATTTTTCACATGATACCCACCCAAGACACAAACAGTAATCAAAATGAACATCATGTATCAATGATCCAAGGCCCCTGAACCACACAGAAAAACATAAATAGGAGAATGTATAATCAGTGTGTTTCTTTGCGTAGCTATGTTTTTAAACAAGTTATTGGCTTCTGAAACTATGGATAATGATGCAAGGGGTTCGCAATAGTGTGCTTTTGATATTCTCCCTTTAATTGAAGTTGAAGATTGCTTTAAGAAATTGTGGCTACAATCTCCATGCTTTTTAATGCATGCCAAATTAGGCAGTGAGAGCAATATTCCATATATAGTAAACCGGGCTTAGGCCGTGCTTGGATCTAAACCATTTTCCTTTTTATGACGACGAGTTCAGACACGTAGCAAGCTTGGCACGATTGTCAATGGCGGCGGATAAGGATAGAAAGAAGAAGATTCTGTCGCGTTGGTGGAAAATGAAACTTGAGCCATAGTAATTTTGCTTAGCATTGGAGTCTTTCATTAGAAAATTTGGCGTAGAACTGTATTTAAAATTGATTTATGCGGAAGATTATCCATGCATATATCATCCTATCTCCTCGCTAGAGAAGAGGAAAGATGGATGGAACATTGAAAATGCAGAGTTATTTTCATTTTCCAACTCGTTTTGCACAGTGAGTGTAAGCCCTCGTAAAACTCAAGGGTAAGATTCTCAATTTATGGACATGTGGAGAAAAAGCAACCCTAATATCTAAAATATTAATCATAAGAAAACAAAGGAGAAACAAAAAGCTGTGCATGATGAATCCTAAGAAAATTACTACGACCTAAAAATGTCTAAAATAACACATCATTAAATTAAATTAAATTAAATTAAATTAAATTGGCCCTCCTTCTCAGTATCAGCTTATGAAGATTTGAATGCTTCTTCTGGTCAAAAGAGGGGCTTGCAGCCGGCCGATACTCCGGGAATAACCTCCCTGTATTGTACCTCACACCACAAGCGTTACACAGTGTTTTCGGACCCAGTGGACCGATCCTCCATTGCGGCGTTTTGTCAATTTGACAGTGGGTGCAAACTCTCTTTAGGAATTCATGATTTTCTAGTGCAGAAAACACACAATCTTTCGTCGGCCACGCACGCTGCTTTAATCTCCGTTTACTCCTTGGTTTCTTTTTAGTTATACCGAATTTAAAATCTCTCGATGGAGTAGTTTCTATCTCCTCTTCGGATTTTCCCAAAAAATCTCCAAAATCTTCCAAGAAGCTTAACTCATTGGTTGATTTAAACCCATCGAGGAAATCAGTAACGCACTCTATGGGATCCTTAGGGGCGCTAAGTCCACTGCCAATCCAATCAAAATCATCACTGACATTGCAGACATCATCAGAAGCTGGAAAAAAAAAGGTCAAGGCATATATAAAGAGAGACACCATCGTACAAGTTGTCACAAAAAGGCTAAGGCACATGCAGAGGGAGGCAAAGGGATGAATTAGGTTTTAATTAAGGTTTATTTTCTATATATTTATATACATATAGGAGAAGAAGAGAAGGGTTTTAAGTGAAGTCCGTAAGTATTATGGATATTCATGAACTGCGTGAGAAATTATCTCTACAGAGGCGGACCAACCAATAAAACCTAGAACATAGTTCCCTAGCAAATACACGAATACGGCTGTGTTAGGCAGTTTTGTTTTTTACGAGGTTTTGTCCTTCAAACACTCAACGAGATTTGGATGAAGGAAGAAGTAAAGGAAATCTTCGATTTTGGTGTTTCATTAGCCTGAGAATTCAATTAAAATAAAATTTCAGTCTGTGCACAAAAAGGGTAGTCTTGAGATTCTACGAATTTTGTGATTTGAATCCTCACCATGCATGTCATCACTTTCTCAGCCATCTTTATGCATCACTCAATTCTCAAAATGCTAATCCTCTCTATAATATATTTTTAAAATTACATGGAAACGAAAAAATATATATTCATCAACCAGGGTATTATAAATTTAATTAAAATATAAGAATATATATGAGGACTATGAAGCTTATAAAGAAAAACAATATAGGAAAAACATGTTAATTCAATGAGCAGGAGTTCCCATCGGTACAAAGCTATATGTTCAGTTTATAATCATTTAATTTATGATAAATTTATTATGGTTATAAATATTTACAAAGATTCTGATATGCAAATTAAATATATATTACATTTGCAATTGATATAAAAACAAGATGCTAATATGTTTTTGAATATATTAAAACAAAACTAGAAAAAAATATTTACTTTTCGAGATACTTTAAAATTAATTAAGTTTTATTGTTGGTAAAGATCAATAATTTCTTTTTTAAAGCTTTATTGCTTCATGTAAAAGATGTTTTTCAATGAGATCCAATGAATTAATCAAAGAAAACTTAGCAGTCTCTCTACAAGACTTAATCTAAGCTTTAAATTTTGGAGATATATTAAAAAGAAACGGACCTTTAAAAATCAGAAGAACAAGGCTGGAAACTTTAGCGAAGAAGAGATCAAATTCTGTTTTTTTTTTTTTAAATGCACCCCAAACACTCTTCTTTAACGCCTTGATTGAGGTTGGCCGGAGCTAAGGGATCCGGCACTATTGAGGTTTAGCATTTCAGTCTTGGGTGGCATCTCCAATGATGTTCGGCATGGTGCCAACTTTATCTCGCCGTCAAAGCTTCAGGGTGAGACCAAAGGAAGAGAAGGCGTCAGGACAGACAAAATTAGGCCTAAAAGCTTACAAAAAAAGAGCACTAATGGCCCCTTTTCGGAAAGAGTTTTTATTTTACCATTATTGCCTTTCCCTATCTTCTATTGTTTTTCATGTAACTGGGACGACTAGCAAGACAAACTCAACAAAGGGGAGAAAGCAAATAGATTCAATAGATACCTTAGCCACTCCCTAATAAGAGAGAAGGTGGGAGCTCCATCTCTGTGCTTGAATGCCTGGCCCTGCATCGAAGGAAAAGTCCTCTCTCTAAATCGGGCATCACCTGATTCGACGAGAAAGGATGACCCGATGTTTTGCCCTTCCTAGGCTTAGTGCTGAAGCTCAAGGGTCTTCAAGTCAAGACTTGCAATTGAAGGGAACATTGAGGCCCACGGTCTCAAAGTTTGAGGTGAATAATCAAAGCGGCGGGCCCAATGAACTCCCCGATTGTGCACCGAAATGGAGCCCACGGTTCGATAACTCGCTCTGATTTGTCGCAAACAAAGAGTTTCGATTTTAGGAATTACAAGTTGATAGAATTTCTCAAACACTTTTGATTATCCTCGAGATGAGCTAAAAAAAATAATTATTCATGAAGTAAATCTAAAAAAAGCGAGAGGAGTTAAAAACTAATAATTATTCATTATCTAAACCTAAATACAGATTTTAGTTGGCAAAAAATATATTTTTATGATCCAAAATATTGTTTTACAATGAACTTAAAATTTGAGTTTGAAGAGAACACATGATACTAGAACTTCTCTCTTCTAAAATCTTTGATATCATTTGAATTTAATCTCAATTTTTCACTAAATATGTCATAAGGCAAACTTATTTCGTTTTAATGTGGGATAAAGCTTTAAAAAATTTTAAGTTTTATCAAGATATTCTGACTAAGAGTTTTTTAAGATTATTTTTTTGTTTATCTATAATTTATTTATTGAAATTTTATTAATATTTTATATTAAATAACTTATATTGATATTGAAGATAAAATTTCAATAAAATTATAGCCACGAAGTCAGTACTGGACATTCGAGTTCTAAGAAGGAAGAGTTGTGTCATGATTCATGAAAGCACTTCATAACAAGTTCAAATTCAGGACTAACTACAATGCAATCGTAGCACCAAACAGCAGTTCACCTAAACAAGCAGCAAGAAGAACTTCAGGAGACGGCTAGAGTGCTATGTTTTGAACTCTGCAATGTATGATTAATTTCAATTGAGTGCTACATCTTGAAATCTGCAATGCATTGCAGCAGAAAAACGAACTTATTCTGAGTCTGCCAGGAAGAGCCCTGATGAATTCTTTCTGGTGTAAAGAGCGAGTAACTCAACTGACATTTATTATACACTCCACAGTGGAAGGGGTAAAATACTAGTACAAAAACTATTAAGTTATGAATGTTCAACGAGGAGATGATTTTAGTACAATGGAACTCAAAACTTAGAGCTTAGAGCTTGACTTTTCCTGCAAGCATATAGGTTCTGTAGTTGACAGTTCTAACCAATTCAGGTCCACCCCAAGCACTCTCAAGCTCCCTCACAACCTCATCAGACAATAAATTCACACCTTGTTCCTTTGCTGTATTCACAGCAGAAGCTGAACTCAACAACTTCAAAAGCCTCTCAAACGACATCTCCATTGGCAAGTCCAATTCCAGAGGCTGCCCCTCACAACCTACGCCTACACTTTCAAAAGGAAATGGAAGTGTCTTGTAACACTCAAATGCGTACATGACTTTTGGGTTTTGAAAAGGAAAAGTTCCCTCGTAGAATTTCCTTAATAGAGGATCCATTTCTGGGCTAACTTGGATGATATTGTAACTCCAAACAGCAACCACACCTCCAGGCTTCTTTAACACACGATTGACGACAGCGTAGAATTTTTCTAGATCAAACCAATGCACAGCTGTAGCCGCAACAACTAAATCAACTGAATTTTCACCCCCGATTAAGTTCGCTAGTTCATCATCAGACATTGATGATGGAGAGTGAAAGTATTGAACTTGGGGATGTTGTATAGCATGCTTTAACTGTTCTTCACTTACGTCAGTTGCAATCACTTGTTTGTAATGCTCTGAGACCTGCAGCGCATTTACAAGGTTGTAAGATGCATCATTTATAACAATTTCTATTTTTTTCTCAACCAGAAAGTGATGCTTCTATACAGATAAAAAAATCAGGAAGCAAATCGTTCGGCTAAGTTGAACCCTACTATAGTTATGAACCCTGTATTAGGATGAAGTTCCTCATCAGAGCCAAACATTGGTAGAATCTGATTATAGCAATTTCTTTTCAAGGAAATAAACTAACGTTAGTAATTCATATAAAAGAAAAGTAAGAAAAAAGGTGATGAACTCCAGATTCAAGTGTTGATTTACATCAGAACTTCAAATTAAACCTTGTCACTCCTCAGTCATCACCATCATGAGCACTACTAGGTTTTCAGAATAATATCATCCTTGATTTACCATCATTAATTCCTCTCAAACTAGGATTTGATAACTTGGATTGAATAAGATGGGACAGCTTTTGCTGCTACGTTTGGCATATATGCAAATGGAACAAGAAAAGGGGTGTTTCTAAGTGGCTGCAAAGAATCAACATAGATCAGATCTCAATACATTTAGAAAGTTCGAGGAAGAAAATACTAACATCAATAGCAGCTTGACCATTGCCTGTGCCAGCATCCCAAGCTAAAGAGTGGTCAGGGGTTAGAGAAGCCAGCATTGAAAACCATTCGCTTGGATATCTTGGCCTCGCATCCAAATATATTGCTGCCTGCTTGTCATACAACTCTGCCATCTTAATTCTTGAGGATTCTGATAGTATAATTTCTTGTGAATGTTTTAGGGTCTGTTTGAAGGATTTGCCGAATTTATAAGAAAAAACTGATCCTTCTTTTCTGCTGATATATTTATTGTTTAAAGAGAGCAAATTTGACCTGCATTATAGGTATAGTGCTGATGCATGAATCTGAATAGTAGACTAAAGAAGTGGCCCCGATTTATTCTTGGCTCGATAAAAGTAAGTCATGGTCATCTCAAAATGTCTCTATCATTCTCTGGTAAACGTGGGCCAAATTCCTCGGGATGGGCCATTCTGAGAAACGTGACGAGACCGTAACCCCAGGCTAATTTCTCACAATCTTAAATATATTTTTTGCCATCTCACACATTTTTCCTGTTCTTTTTTGTCTGTTCTTTCGTTTTATGTATCTTCGATGGCGAGGCTCTGGCTCAAAGGAGTTTACTTTCTTTAATAATGCTCCTTATATCAAGTATGAGTGAATCTTGGTCCGATGGTGGCTTGAATACAATCAAATAGTTCTATCAACTGACTTGCATGCAGACTTCCTTTGGTGGCTTTGAAAAAAGAAGCTATTAAGTAGTTATGGTTCACGGAATTGGAGTCATAGCCTGCAATATTCTTGCATGAAGTTGTTGCAGTAACCTTCTGATGGTAAAATTGATGAAAACGTACATGTTTTTGGAGCATGAAGACAAGTCATCTAAAGGGAGGAGGTAAATCTGCTGGCATTCATTGTTTCACTAAATTTTTCACCTCATTGAAGCCTGGAAAGAAAAATTCACAGCTTAACTTTTCCAGCAACCGTACAAGCCGTGTAGGCGACAATGAACTCACCCACTCAATCTTCCAGTTTTTTTTTATATATATATAAAATATGCAATTTTCCAGTTGCCTTTCAAGACTGAAAGCAAATCATTGAGCAATATTTTTTGTGCAATAAATTGTATAAGCAACTAAAGCGCACTCTCGCTGGAGAAGTAAGAGAAGTCTGCATGCCCTTTTGATGATTTTCTAATTCAGATGCATGCATTCACTCTTCTCGTTTTCTTTTTTGAGAAAGAACACCAATCTCGAGCTAATAATCAAACCTCCTGACCCAGTTCAGGAAAACATCAGCAGAGATACAGTACCAGAAGGGAAATAAAATCAAGAAGCCAGAAGTGAGTTCATGTTGATATATAAGAACTCTTTAGCGTAAAACAAGAACCTTAATCTTCTTAATTAAAAAAGATTATTTACATGATAAGCTACAATTCTGTAATCTAATTATTTATATTTATAGGAAATAGATTAAAAATTATTTTATAATTTGATTATTATCTATTCAGATCAAATCTGATCTTATATAGGCAATAATTATATAAATCTAATCAATTATAAAAGTCATATCAAATTTAGAAGAAAATTACTATAGTTTTTTAGAATAGAATCGTTACCTATTCAAAGCGCTATATATTTAGAGCATTGTCTAGTTAGAGCTATGCCTATATATTTACTCTCACAAGTAGAAGAATACTAATAAAAAATTCAGTTTATAGATGCCATTAGGTTTTTTACATGGTATCAAAGCTTAATTAATCAAACACAAATCTCACACGAATCCTCTACTATATGACGAACCTCAACCCCATTATTCCCATTCCACAAAATAGCCAAGCATCACCCATTATTATTCACTAAGATAATTCTGCATTCCTCACCAGCATCATATTAGATGAAAACAATTATTCATTATGGTCTCAACTAATAGAGATGCACATTGGTGCTCGTAACAAAATCAGATATCTCACTGGCGAAGCAAAAAAACCTGAACCTAATGATCTCACGTTCGCAACATGGATCACCGAAGGTCAAAAAGTGAAAAGTTGGCTCATTGATTCAATGCGTCTGCTACTAATACAATGATTTATTCGCCTATCCACAACCAAGAAAATATGAGAGGCTATATCGAAGACCTTCTATGATAGCTTAGATGAAACTCGTCTGTTTGAATTAAATAAAAAAATCTTTCTATATCAAACAAGAAGGTAGATTTGTGTCCACTTATTACAATGAACTGGTTGCTCTATTCTAAGAAATCAATCACAGAAGTGCTTCTCAAGGACAGACGGTTGAAGGAATGATCCAGTTGTATTCAACAATACATCGAATTAGGGTTCATATATTTCTGAGAGGCCTTGATTCCGAGTTTGATCAAGTCCATGAAGAAATATTACGCAGAGATCTAAAACTAAACTTGGAGAGTACATATGCCTGTATAATGAGGGAGTTTCAATAAAGACAAATAATAGGAAACCATCAAACGACTAGTGAGCACTTCGCGCACTCTACTATATTCACAAACTAATCTCGTTAAGGAATAGCTTCTGGAACAATGAAGAGCCGAAATAATTCATTTGCTGGAAAATACATAGGCCTCATCTATAAGCATTGTGGTGAACCAGGACAATCAAAACAAAAGGTGTTATAAGATCATTGGTTATCCTGAATGGTGAGATTTCTCAAAGAAACCAAGGAAGAAATTCACAAGAAAAGCCATGATGACCAGGGCTGAAGTTTAAGCTACCGCTGCTGATAAACTCGTCTACTGCTAATGTTGCTCACTCGAGCAGTACTAGTAAGGCAAATACATTCTCTGTATTTACTAAGAATAATAATTGGATAATTAATACAAGTGCATCAAATCACATGGTTAGAGACACTAGTCAGTTACAATCCCTCCACTTTTCTATACTTTCTTTTATTTCCACAGCTAATGGCAGCACCTCCCCTATTATTGGTGAAGGCATTGTCATCTTGACACGAAATCTCACCTTAAACTCAGTTCTAGTTGTCCAATCCTTTAAACATAATCTATTGTCAATTGGCCAAATTACTTCTACTCTTAATTGTACAATAACCTTCTAGCCTTTATTCTGTATGTTTCAGGATATTCTGACTTGGAAGATTCTTGATTCTGGTGTTAAACATAACAACCTCTATTATTTAGAACTTTCAGAAAAAAGAGGACATAAATTCGGTGAAGCATATCAAACTAGAAGTTCATATACAGATCAAACCATAATATGGTTATGGCATCAACAATTAGGACATCTTTCTTTTGGATATCTTAGAAAATTATAACCGCATCTTTTTAACGTAGTTCATGATTCCGAGTTTGATTGCAATATTTGTGAAATGGCTAAAAGCCATTATATTACTTATTTATCGAGTTTGAATAAAAGTTCATAACTTTTTGCCGTTATACATTCTGATGTGTGGGGTCCTGCAAAAATTTCTACCATATCGAAAGCCCGTTATTTTGTCATATTTATTGATGAATGTGCCAAAATGACTTGGATATCTTTGCTACACAAAAAAAATGATGTTTTTACAGCATTTCAGGAATTTCATTGTATGGTGGGTACTCAATATAAGAAACAGATTCGTAATTGGCAAACTGATAATGCTATGGAATTCCTAGATACCTCTGTTCAGAAGTATCTATATCACTATGGAATTCAACATCAAACTTTATATATTTATACTCTACAACAGAACAGGTTGGCTGAATGAAAAACAGACAGATATTAGAAGTGGTTCGTGCCTTTTTCTTTGGCATGCACATGACTCGGTACTACTGAGGAGAAGTTATAAAGTTTATTATGTATCTTATCAACCGAACGCCTTCTCGAGTGATAGATTTTCAAACACCTCAACAACTTATGCAATCTTTATTGTTCACTTCGCACCTTCCACATCTTGAGCCTAGAGTATTTAGGTGTACTGCTTATGTTCACATTCCAAAGGTGTTACAAACTAAACTTAATCCATGTGCCACTCAATGCGTTTTTATTGGATATTCAGAATTCCAAAAAGGGTACAAATATAATGATCCTTACACTAAAAAATTACACATCACCTTGGAAGTCTCCTTCCATAAAACTGAACCATTTTATTCCAAAGAAGGTTTTATCATTTCCTCTCAGGGGGTGTAACCTAGCAATGAACATTTGCTACAAGAGAGTGGTAGTAACGACTTTGTTGAGCTGGGAAAAATGATTGAATAGCTTGGGAGCAAAAGAACTGATAAGGAGTCACGGGGTAGAAGCACTAATGAGGAGTCACCAATAAATGCAGAGTTGCCTTTGTTAACATCATTAACCAATGAATCTTCTCAGAATGTTGAATCCCAAGTAATCCTACAACCTATATTTTATGAATCCACTGTATTTACTAATATTTTTCGTGCCCAGGATGTTCATCCTGCTAATGCAGCCCCACGATGTTCACAAAGATCAAATAAGTGTGTCCTAAAGAAACAGTATGAACTTGATTATAGAGTCAATGTCCAATATCCAATAAGTAATTATGTTTATAACCATAGGCTGTTTGAATCATATGCACTCACTATTAATCAATTATCCAATATATCCATTCCTAGTAATGTGCAGGAAGTTTTGATAGATCCTACTTGGGCCAAAGCAGTAAATGAAGAAATGCAAGCTTTACAAAAGAACTCTACTTGGGAATTTGTCTCCCTACCCTAAGGAAAGAAGACAATCAGGTGTCAATGGGTGTTCATTGTGAAACTTAAAACCGATTGTAGCATTGATAGATATAAAGCATGGTTGGTTGCAAAAGGATATACATAAAAATACGGTATGGATTATCAAGAGATTTTTGCATATGTTGCCAAGTTTGACACAATTCATATTCTTATATCTATAGCAGCCAGTCGGGAGTGGCATTTGAAACAATTTAATGTTAGAAATATGTTTCTTAATAGGGACTTAAAGGAAGAAGTATATATGGACTTGTCACCATGTGTGTAGTGCAATTCTAAAGATAGGAGTAAAGTCTGTTGGTTGAAGAAATCTCTATAGGGTTAAAACAATCCCCTAGAGCTTAGTTTGGGCAGTTCTCATCTGCAATGAAAGTATTAAATTATAAACAGAGTAATTCAGACCATACTTTATTTATAAAGCACCAAAATAGAAAGGTTACAACCCTTATTGTTTACGTGGATGACATGGTGTTTACAGGCGATAATCCAGAAGAAATGATGCTGTTACAGGAACATCTAGCCGCTGTATTTAAAATGAAAAGCCTTGGGCGACTCAAATACTTCTTAGGAATTGAAGTCATAAAATTA